ATAATACATCGTGTACACTCACTAAACAAAGAGTGACAGCTTTTTAGTGGTTATGAGCACTCTTTGCAACCCCTGGCCACCACGCAGACACGCCCTTGGTCACATCATACTTCATCTACTCGTCAAATCTTCTGACCAATCGGGGGAGCTCCAAGATGGCGCCGTGGAAAGTCGTGGTTCTCTAAGCTGAGAAACAAACCGGGTATTTCTCACAAATGGACATATATTCCATAAAGTTGCTAGCTACTATTGATAGATAGCTAATAGTTGCCGAATTTAAATAAATATTGAAGTTGGAGTAGTGAAACAAGACTATATTGAATTACGAAATCATCATCAGTTTCACTGCACAATTCAGAAAAATGGCCGAGGATCTTGGTGCAGAGATGGAGGTCGATATTATAAAAGAGAAGAGAAGTTTTAACGAAACTCACTCGTATGCATGTAAAGTAAAAAGCGGAGGAAGTTGTGGGTCTTGTCCGAACACACCAAGCAAAAATCAACCTCCCAAAAGACATAAAAATATAATTGACTCATCAGCCAAACAAAGTGAACTTTCTTTGAATGATGTGTAGGAGAATATCATTCGAATTCTCTCTGAGAAAATCAATGAGCGATCCGACCAGCTTAAAAGAATGGTTAAAGAGAAATCTTCCAACATTGAAGCTTTGGGCAAATCTCTTACCTCAGTGCATGATGATGTAATGGTTCTGCAGAAAGAAAACGAAATGCTAAAAAATGCAAATGCTCTCCTGGAAAAAAAGGTCAAGGAAATGAACACGAAAATTCATGACCAGGAACGTTACAGCCGCAGATGGTGCCTGCGTTTGTATGGGCTGTCCGAACAAACTAATGAAAATGTGAAAATGAGAGTTATGGAAGTATGCAAAGCGGTAGTTTCGGACGTGGACAAATGGGTGGTAGCAGACGGTCTGGATGTGGCACACCGTCTGGGCAGGCTTAAAACTTCGGATGATGGCAGAAGAGTGAAACCAAGATCATGAGATTCGTTTCCCGTACAGCCAGAGATTTAATCTGGAAAAACTCAAAAAACAACGAGTATCTGTCTATCAAGGGGCTGCGGTTTAAGGAGGACTTGACTGCTTTCGACCAGGGGCGGATTTAGTGAATTGGGGGCCCCAGGCAAAATATAGGAATGGGGCCCTATACATTTGCACACATTTTCCTAGATCAACCTTGAGGTTCCATTTTGTTGTTTTCAGCGTAAGCCTGTGTGCTGTCTAATTCTAAACTTTAAAATACATTTATTTTTAGTTGTTTTAACTACAAATTTAAATAAAACTGAAAAAATATTGACAAGGCAATTATACATTTACACACCTAAAATACATATATCAAGAGCATGCTCACAGATGAGAACCAAACAGCGCTGGATGAAGTGGATTAAAGTCTCAAACAGAGGCCCTAGCCCGTCTTTCCCCCCCTTTTCCCAAAAAAAGCTTATACCAGGCTACTGTTTCAGCTATTAAAATAGTTCAGTTTTGTATGTAATGGAAAAGTGATTATATTTCGTTTCGTTTTTTTATAAAGTAAATTTAGAAAAACATTTGGAGTATTTTTTGTTCGTTAATATGCAAGTTTTTGTTGTTTTAAGTAAAGGCCAGCGGCAGACAGTGAGTTGATCATAGCCTATGTTTGATCAATTTAGCCTTCTCAAATCATCAGGACTTGCCTAAAATAAAATCTATATATAAAACAGTTCAAGTATATCACAATGTTAGTTTAAATGTTTAACCTATATAAATGTGCATATCCAATAGTTTGCGGAGGACTGGAAGCTGAAGCTCTGCAGGACACCGAGGCACCAGCACTGGCTTTTTCTTAAGAGTGGAAACTTAATACTCTTTATGAGCAAATAATGTCATATTTGCTCATAAAGGTGAGAGTAATACGTCATTCGGAATTGAAAAGGGTCTACTTTTATTTCTGTGCACTCACAAACAATATCAACAAAAACCTGTGCTTTTGTAAAATAATGAAGGAAAACAAACAGGAGCTTGAGCAGAGCTTCACAATGATGAACCCACACGCCATACATACATCTGATAGAATGCGTTAAATACTTAGAAACGAAATCATTCAAATAGAAAACAAAAACTCTTTCATTATGTAGGCTAATCCGTAAAGATGTATTTCTCTCTAAAGGCGAGTCCTGAAGAGATGGAGAGTCAGGAGCTCAACTTCATCTTGTGACAGACTCAGAAAACACTAGTTTATTAATAAATAATTCAAATATCTCCTTAGTATTTAGTTATTGTTTTTCTTTTTGTGGGCTTCTGTGCCAAGATTGTGTTTGCATGCAGTACTAATAGCTACGGCAGCATTTTAGTACCATGTTGAAAAATAAGATTAACGTCATAATATTTTAAGAATAAAGTCAAAATTACGATAATAAAATCAGGTTATAGGCCTATTGCGTGAAGTTAGTGTGAGAATTCCACCTATACTCCGCAAAAAATAAATAAATAAAATAAAAGGTCTGTGGCATCTAACCAGTCATTCTTCACATTTACCTTAAAAAAACAGAAATAAAAGGTAGGCTTATTGACGTTTTTTGAAACTCTAATTGATCGATTTCATGAAACATTCGTTTGTATTAAATTGTTCTGATTTTTTCAACATGCATTCAAATAATTGATTCACATGCTGCTTGAACTGAGACGAATATAGTTATCTCACTACAAATTTAGAAGCGTAAAAACAGTTATTGTTTGTAGTATTTTATTATAAAGTTGACAGAAGGCTGACACTTTTCTGTTTTAATATCAGTAACAAAGCTTATCTCGATTATTGGGTGGCTTGCGTGCTACAGATGATGAATGGACTTGAAAACGTTAAATATTATTTCCAAGCATTTATACCGTAAATAAAACAGCTTGTGAATACACCTAACCTTAATCACTTCAGAAAAATCAAGAAGTTAACCGAGCTGGAGCCAATATCGTTTGGGGGGCCGTACAGATGTTTGTGCATATGGCCACTGGTCTGAATGCACACATATTTACATAAACTAGACCACATTTCACTGTACTTCTTGAATCTTATTCTACTCTAATAACCACATATCCACAACCACTAGACTTCTAAAATAAATGACAAATAACTGTAATGTATTAAAAGAGCATTTGGTTTTCTTCTCTTTGACTTTTTCTGACATTTTCAACATAAAATGATCATGTAAGAAGTTATTTACAGAAAAGTGGCTTATTTTACATGAATTCATGATGCAGATCAGCAGAGACACAATGAAGCCCAAGCAAACGGTGACATAGGACACTAACACTATATTATATCATACATCTCCAATGTCTAAATATGCATGCGTGTAATTTCCCTTACAATAATCTCTGAAAAACACACAGCTGACCTCAGCACTTGAACTGAAGCCAGACTTTTGTTAAACGTTGAACCTGAACTCATGCTGCTTATTAGTGATTCCTGAAAACAGTGATTATGAAAGGAACAGATGTGATGTTAAGTCGCTGGACTGCACAATATTCCCAGAGGATGATGTGTTCACAGGCGCTGAACAATATGAGCCTGACCACATGATGGCATGCAGAGCTTCTGCTGACCCCTACTGTATAAAACAAGAAAGCCTGTGTTAATGCTGATCAGCTGAATGTGATCATGTAAGAAATTCTAATGTGTAAGATATGAGTCAGATATTCATTCCTTTCTTTTTACTTTGCCTCTAAAGGCAATGAGATGTGCTGCATCAGTAATTAAAGAGAACAAAAAAAACCAATATAAAATACTGACATGTACAACGGCACAACAGTTCAGCGGAGTATTTCTTTTTTTTAATTCTTGCATACAAAAACTAGAACAATACACTTATTTACAAAATCACATGGTGTTTTAGTACAGGCGTCGAG